TACAGGAGTCAGGGGAGGAGGGACACCCTAACATCAGCACCCCCCCTTCTCCTTCCCACACCCTGCACAACAAGCAGGAGGCTCCCCAGGAGGCAGCTCCAAGGCAGAACGCAGGAGCAACATGACAGTGGGTGGAGGGGTAATTGAAGTGCCAGTGCTTGAGAGCTTCCTGGCCAAACCAGTCAGAGGCTCCAAGATCTACTGATAGAACCCAATCTGCTGGTTGGTAACTGCTGCTTTATAACGACAATTTTTTCCCCAACAAACCACAAGGCATAACGCAGCCTTGCAAAATTCTGTTTGCCCATTCCTCTCTAGCTAGGGCCCGTCTTCACTACATGGATGATCTCCCGGGATTTGATTTAGTAGGAGTAGTATAGACCTGCTAGATCGAACTGAAATGGTGCCCATGCCGGTGCCAGTACTCCTGCTTCTCATGTGGGGTAAGGGAAGACAACAGGAGCATGTGCACCCATTGGTCTCCCATTGTGTGAATGGTGCAGAAACGTGATATAAGATATGTTGCGTATTTTACTTGGACCTTCCTGTATAGCATAGACCAGGCCATAGAATCATAGAACCATAGAATCCTAGGGCTGGAAAAGACCTTAGGAGGCCATCGAGTCCAACCCCCTGCCCAAAGCAGGACCAACCCAACTCAATCGTCCCAGCCAGGGCTTGGTCAAGGGGGACTTAAACATCTCTAGGGATGGAGATTCCACCCCCCTCGCCCCAGGAACCCATCCCAGTGCTTCCCCGCCCTCCTAGGGAAATCATTTTTCCTAATATCCAACCTAGACCTCCCCCACTGCAACTGCCCATTGCTCCTCGTTCTGCCATCTGTCACTACTGAGAACAGCCTCTCTCCATCCTCTTTGGAACCCCCTTTCAGGTAGTTAAAGGCTGCTCTCAAATTCCCAAAGGCAGGTGGCTTCAGCTTTTTGTCATTGTCCTCAGTGGTCACCTTGCAATTTAATGGTGTGCCCAGGCTCATAAAAGTATATGACTGTCTTTTCGAGGTTGGTATAAGGTAACGTGCATTCATCACTGATGTTCTTTTCAGCATCCAAATCTTGCTCAGTTTGTATCCAGGCAAATCAATGGGGCTACGTCTACACTGGCACCTTTTTCCGGAAATGCTTAAAATGGAACAGTTTTCCGTTATAAGTATTTCTGGAAAAAGAGCGTCTACATTGGCCACGGATGCTTTTCCGGAAAAAAGCCCCGATCGTCATTTTCGCGATCGGGGCTTTTTTGCAGAAAAGACTACTGGGCTGTCTACACTGGCCCTTTTCCAGAACAGTTTTCTGGAAAAAGGACTTTTGCCCGAGCGGGAGCAGCATAGTTTTTCCGGAAAAGCAGCTGATTTCTTACAGTAGATCATCAGTGCTTTTCCGGAAATTCAGGGGCCACTGTAGACAGCTCACAGCTTATTCCGGAAAAGCGGCTGCTTTTCCAGAATAAGTGGCCCAGTGTAGACACAGTGGGTGTTTGCCTTAGTCAACACTGAACAAAAATTGGATCAGGAGCTCAGATTTGGCCCAATGGCAGTTTTACTGGAATAAAGACTGAATAAAAATAGAGACGCCAATTCAGACTTTGGTCATACGGATGCAATTCTGGAGTATCTCCATTGACCTTCAAGAGTTAGGCTGAATTTACACAGATGCGACTATAAAACCTGGCTCTGAAGTTGGGACTTTAGGAGTTGGCCCTGTACATAGAGGCCATATTCTGACGACCTCATTCACATAGCCTCACTCCACAGGAAATCCTGGTGAAGAAAATGAGACAACTTCTAGAATAAGGTGTAAGGTAGCTGACTAGCCTCAATTAATCTAATTATAGCAAATTCTGAGGATTGGAGAAGCAAAAGCAGAACCTGTACATCCTGTCTGCTCACTTTTTCACTTTGATAGACTGGTAGATGTTCAGCGAATTGCTTCCCATTTAAAATGCAACATATGCAGATTTGAAAGGGTAAAAATAAGCATCCAGTTGTTTTAACAGATTCCTGTTCCCCAAGGTAGTTTAGTCACCTGTGTGTATACTCAAAATCTGTTTGGTCCCACCCACAAACCAACCTCACAGACATCACCTTTCCTGTGTTTGAGCAGAATGATCAGTAGTGTAGCTAGTATTGTAAAGATGAAATAGCTAAAACATCCAGGCAGCTATCTGCATATATCTTCCACTGTGTTGCTTATAAAAGAGACGGAAAAAAATAATCCAGGCATAAATTGCCTCTGGAAACAGTGAATGATTTGTTCTATATTTTTATTCCACTAAAAGCCTGTTGTGAAAAGGACATCTTTAGCTATCAGTCAGATACTCAAGCCATTCCAAAGGGCTATGTCCCATTGGCCACCTGGCTCTGCTGTAAAGGGTACGTCTACACAACAGCATTATTTTGGAATAACAAGCCTTTATTTTGAAATAATGTCAAGCTGGAGGACTTCTTACTCCAACTCATGGTAACCCTCATTCTACAAGGAGTAAGGGAAGTTGAAGGAAGAGTGTTCTTCCTTCGACTTCCTGCTGTGTAGACGCGCCAAAAACCGAGTGAAAATATTTTGACTTCAACTGTGCAATTGACATAGCTGAAGTTGCACAGCTTATTCCAACTTTAGCCCTGCTGTGTAGACATACCCTAAGAGACTTGTAGGTATGAAGCAGGCTCATCCCACTGAACTGTGATAGGTGGAGGAGTTGCTGGAGGAACATAACTTATCTTCAGGAAGGATCTATTTCTTTCCCACACACACTGGGATGGGTCATGTCCCCTCACCTTTGAACAGCCTACTTATGAGAGATACAAATGACTGTTCCCCTGAGGATGTAAAAGGCAGAATGTGGACCATAATACTACCATCCTCAGCACTGCCATGTAGCACTGGGTTACCATAGCAGAGGAAGAGCTACCAAAAATAGGAAGGAGAGAATGGGGCTTAATCTTGTTTAATTGAACTTTGCTTTGGATCTACCATCCTGCAGACCCAAAGATCTTCGCCTTCCAGCCAGATCCTACAATTCATACAAGCAGAGCTTACATTGAAGTCAATGAACCTATTCTGGTGAACAAAGGCTGCTTGCATGTTAGGGTTATTAGATCAAACCTTAGGTCTCCAGTAGTTCCTGATTGTTTAACTGTTTTATGCTAAGTATGAATTTTGCCCACATACGAAATGCATCAAATATACTAGGTTACAATTCTTGATCTACTTTTAATCATTTGTTGCTTGAAGAAAATGGTGTAAAAACGGCGCATTTTCTTTTTGATTGCCTTGGGTTGTTGGGTTTGTGGGTTTTTTTTTTCATTTTGTGGTGCATTTTGGTGGAGAGAAACTTCTTTGGCCTACTAGTAACAAGTACCATGGAACATTTTTAGGCAGCATGTTTAGCATGTCCAATCTCACACAACTGCTTTATTCAAAGGTTGACATGGCCTGACCACCCGTGGGTTTTATACAGTAGCTTGTGGAGCAGGATAATCCGCCGACTATTTGGTGGTGCTCCACAAAAAACTGTCTGCTCATGTGACGTTGGTTCCTGCAATGTATTTACAGTGGCTAAATTGTATTTTAAATGCAAAGAATGTGTTTAATACCTTCTTGCTACACTTTTCCTTGCAAGCAATTGCTGATGTTATATGATTGCAAATGGGGGAGGGGAAAATGTCTACACACAGACAAATACTCTCTTTATTAAGATACTAACACTATCCAAAAATTGAGAATTCCTGCTATGCGGTATGAATGGCTCAAGATTTCTCTACTGGAAGACATTGCTCTCTAAACATCTGCCCCTGAAAACTGCTCCTGTGTAATGAATGTCAACTTTGCGGTTCCATTTTTAAGTCATGAAGTGTCTGTTAAACCCTGATAGGATTTTATGCAATGGAGACCTTTCCCTATAATTTCCCTCTGGGTGTTCTTTGAGCCATTATCCATTTGTAGATAGTGGTGGAGTAATTAAGCAGATCCAGGCACATTTCAAGTATTGGGTATTTTTAATTAAGAAGAAGTTAAGGTGAGGCTTTGATTATACACAATCTTTCTAGCTCAGATTCAGAGTTTTCCCAGATACACAGAATATTTTCTCTGACCCTGTAGGGAAGTGTGCAAGCCCCACATTTCTCTTTTTAAAAGTCTTAGGCCAAGCTGCAAACCACAAAAACAACAAAAGTATCACTTGCCAATCCAGGGACAAACCAAAGTACCCCTGGGGGGTTCTGGGGATATTTTGATATAACTGATTGAATGCAGTAACCCAGTGGCTACGTTTGACAATGTTCACAATGTCATTAAAGAAAGTTGATATGTCCCTATCAGTGCCACACCTCAAAAACGGAATAGAGAATCCTTAACACAACAAGCACAAGACCATTTCTGGCATCTTCAACATTGAATCTAGCCCTCATCCAGTGAATGAGAACCAGAACTAGACAGAATTAAACTGCAGTTCTTTTCCCAAACCTTTGTCAAGGGATCACAGTTCTATCCACCCAACAAAGCCAAGTCTTGCTGTAGCGTGGCTCTGGGCATGTCTGTGTATTGTGTCTGGGCATGCTGGTGTGTGGTGTCTCTAGGCTGAGAGTTATGTCTGTGTTGTGGTGGGAATGGGGGTTGGTGTGGCTTTGTGTGTGTGTGTGTGTGTGTAGCCCTGAGTTCTGCATCCATGCATGGGTGTGTTGGGTCTGCACCTGAAGGGGTGCATTTGTGTTTCTGAGGGAGAGCGTTTAGGTATGGTGTCCCTTTGTGGGGGCATGTTGTGTATGCCTCTTCCCCCCCCCCACACACACACACTCTGTACAAAGCTTGCAAGTAAGAGCCGTTCAAACACAACCCCTCCTCTAAAACTTTTTCAGAACTCCAAGTCACACCACAAGAGACAATCCACACCAGCCCCCCGCACGGAGCGGACCCAGCGGTGGGAGACAGACAGACAGACACCCACGGGTCAGGACTCCACCCCTCCCCGCCCCCGCCTCGCCGGCTCACCTGCTCAGGGCCCTGGAAGCAGATCCGGCAGAGCGGGGTCCTCATGCCGCTGTCCAGGCTGCTGCCCAGCGAGTACCTGTCCTCCGCCTTCCCTTTGCAGAAGTCCTCCGAGGAAGCGCTGCTCATGGTGGAGGTGAGGGGCTCGCCGGCCGGGCTGGTCCACTCCTCCTCGGGCGGGCTGGCCGGGCCGCCCCCCCCGGCAGCCGGCGCCCTCCAGCCCCCCCCTCGCCCTCCATGCAGCGCGGGCAGGGTGTTGTTATTGGCCGCCTGCGAGCCCAGGGGGTGCTCGGCGCTGTTCATGGGCAGGGGAGGCGAGGGCGGCGGGGGTCGCCGGAGCAGGAAGACCTTCAGGTCATTGAACAGCATGCGGCAGCGGCATTTGAGGAGGCTCTGATGGCGCAACATCTGTCTGGGACTCAGCAACCCGCAGCAGCAGCACCAGACCACGATCACACCGGTTGGTATGAACATGTATGTGCCTTCCCTTGCCAGCCAGCGGCGGGGGGGAGGAGGAGGGACGAGCAACCGGGGGGCCGCTTGGTGGCTAGTGCCTCCCCACGAAAAAAGATTGTGTTTAGAAAAAAAAATGGATCCGGAGCAAGACCTGGTTAAAATTCACGGGCAAGACCCGGTTAAAATTCACAGCAACCCGCTGGCCCGTAATAACGGTGCAAAACGACCCTCGCCCTTCCCGCCTCCCCTCCCCCAAACTGGAGAAATGCCACAAGTTGGTTTAGAAATAATCCGGTTCTTGGACACGAACCTTCCGCTCTGGAGGAGCTCAGAGAAGCAGGGGGGGAGATTCCTGGAAAGTCTCAACTGCTCCCCCTATAAAAATGGGGGGCGCTGCTCCAGGGGGGGTGGAGAAGGCAGGGGGGTTTGGTTCTCTCACCAGTACTTGGCATGCCCAAAGTACCCCCCTTTCTCTTAATTCTTCTTGGGGGCGTTATTTTAAAGGGTACAAAAGGATGTGGCACCGGAGGGGAGACCCAGCAGGCTCATAAAAGGCAAACCTGGACGTTTTGTTCTTCTCAGGATCAAAACTGCCTTCGTTGGCAAAAGCTTCTTCGTAGTTTTTTGGGGGAGGGGGAGCGGTTGTGAGAATCCCCTACATTTGACACACCGCCCTCTCGGGCTCTGGCGAACCTGGCTGGAGCGTCCAAAAAAACTTTAATGGCCAATATCAGAAGTCCTGAACGACATGATTGGCCTCCGATGTGCCTTGCCTTGTATTGAATTTTCGTTGACCTCCTGCACTCCAGCCGCTGCCAGGACCACACACACACAAATATGGCAGGGGGGTTAGCTCCTACTCCCCCGGACTAAAAACCCGTAGACATGGGATCGATTCGTTGCGTGTAATTGACCAGGCAAACGTGGGGCTGACATGCTCCGGCTCCCGCTCGCCTTCCACAAGCCAGGGACGTCAGCACACGCCGGTGTCGCCTGCGTGGGGGGTGGCCAGGAAGATGAAGCTTCGCTCCGCCACTGCAGGGCTCTCCTTTGGATTCACGGGATGAGGCGCCGTGTTCTCCTCCGCCACCAGCTTCATTTTCCGCCCCTTCTCTCCGCCTCCTCCTCCGGCGGCTGTCCTCGCCCTGCCCGGCATGGACCCCCAACCATGGCACGTCTCTCTGCACCCCCGCCCTCCCCCAATTCTCCTCTCCCGCTGACAGCCTCCGCCGAAACACCCCGCCGCGGGCACAGGGCGACCCAGGGGTGGTTTTCCCGGGAGTGCCTACCGTCTGGGCAGCAGCAAGCTGCCTCTGTCCTCAGCCGCCTCTCCGCTCCCCCATCCGCCTTGCAGGGATGATGGTGCTGTTGCTACCTCGCTGGGATGCAATGGGGAAGGAGGCGGGCGTGCAGAGCAAATGGGGATTTTTTTTTTCCTGAGGAGGGGAGGGGGCGTAACGCGGATCTCTCCTCCCCTCCCCCCCTGGAAAAAAATTAAGGGGGGAGAAGCAAAGGGGAGGGGAGGGATCAATGCAAGAATTCAGGCTGCCCCGGCCTCTGGCTTCAGCTTGGGAAGGGAAAAGGAGAGAAGGGGGGGAAATGTGGGTCGGTGGAAAGTGTCTGGGAATCCGGCCGCGCCTGGGGTGGCAGCAGCAGAGACAACGGAGCCGGGCAATGCTGCAGTTTCAGCACCATGAGCCGCTGGACAGCTCCCTCCCCGGCCTGGCACGTCAGGCAGCTGGGGGAATGACGCAACCAAGGCAGGAGAGGGGGGGAGACAGGCAGGCAGCCGCCTCCCCAGCTGGCCTCCGTGCTGCGCTCTAGGAAATGGTTCGCTCCGGGAGGTGTGAGAGGGGTAGGGTGGGGTTCGGGTCTGCACCCACCCACCCTCCGTCCCTGTCTGTAGGGCTGGCGCTGGCTGGGTGTTTCCGGGCAGCCCGTGTGTGTTGTGTAGAAAGGTCTGTGTGTGTATACAAATATCTGTAGCTGACTATCTCTATGGGTGTAGGCATGTGTCTGGGTGTGTATACGCACAAAGGTGTGTGTGTCTGACTAGCTGTGTGTGTGAATGTCAGGATGAATGGGGGGGTGTCTGTGTGAATGTCTAAACGTGTGGGTGACTGAATGTCTCTCTGTGTGCCTGCCTGTAGGAAGGTGTGGTTGACTGTGTACAAATATGGGTGTATGGTTATCTTGCTGTGTACAGATGTGTGTGTATGGCTATCTCTGTGTGTATGGTGTACAAATAAGGGTGTATGACTATTTCTGTGTGAATGGTGTACACAGGTATGTGTGTCTTTAGGTGTATATGAATGTCTCTGTGGGAATGTTTGTGTCTATTGTTTTATGTGCGACTGTGAATACACAGTGCCCAACGTAACAGCATTCTAAAGTCTGGCTTTCACAAACCCTGGAAAAAACAAACAAACCAAAACAACAACAAAAAACTAGTGACACAACAATCACTTTTCAGAAAAGAGCAACTACAGAATTACTTCCTTCTAAAAAGGCATGAATGAAGAATGTGAAATCAGATCATAGATTGTGTGCTCCAAAGTCCGAAGAAATACACCTTGTCTAAGTCTAATTTTACTTCGGAGTAGTATTTCAATCTATGATGGGACCTATAAAATAATGAGTGGAAACTTTCAGGTGCAAGTGAAGTCAAGATATATGTAATAGATTTATTCTGTCACAGTTATTCATTTTAGAGAATTTCAAGATGAAAAAACAATCCACTGACAAACTTTTCCCTAGCTGATTAATTAGTTGCAGAGGATTTCATGGTTTAACAGGTGTGATAATCAATATTTTTCATTTCACGCCAGGAGGGCTTGCTCATAATTTCATAGACTTATTCTTTTCAATTGTGTTGCTGTTTTAAGTATCCTTTACTATGAAATACAGGTTCTGGTGCAGAATAAGTACATTTGAGCTCATCATTCTACTAGGTATTTGCTAAAGATAATTGACCACATTGGTAATAGAGTGGGTAGTTTTGTAGACCCTGCCTCATTCGCTTTGAAAACTCTAAATAAGGTTGCGATGCCAAATCATCAGATGGCTGGACCACAATAGATACCAAAGTCCATTCGCTATCCACCTTCCAAGTGTGTCAATTGCAACAGCAGTGATAATTTTATGCCATGTTGCCTCGCCACCGGACATCCATCCAGACATGGAAAGACCACCTATAAAACGAAGCGGAAAGGTAGCTGCCCACAGGGATTCAGTCTTTGGCTTCACTACTGAAGCTGTGAACAAAGGTGCCAGTTTTGATGTGGACAAGAAGGATCAAATTCCTGCACGACTGAGAGGCATACAACCCTCACAAACCCCCTGAAGCCAATGAATTGATTTATTTAAGAGGCCCCCAGGTAGCTGTGGAATGAAAATGACTTTTACTGACTACAAATGATGCCTGGATTTGAAGCAGGGTCTGGCAGTTTTGATATCTTACCCCTCCCCTCAATTTGATTCCTCCAACTACCCAACGAGGTGATGGAAAGACACTGCTACTTTATTGTGATTTTAAGGCTTGTGATGCCTTTGGTGATCTTAGGCAGATCTTGTAGCCTTGCATAAGACCCCTTCCATCAACAGGGTTTCAGTACCTATAACTGATAGGAGGGGGAAAATACCAATGTCACTCAGAGGTTATACTGGATCCTAGACAGAGATCTGAGACTGCCTGTTTTGGAATAAAAATAATAAATGGGTAAATGGTAGCGCCACAATCAGTAGCGGATCTGATAGTGTTATCTAATTAAGAATAGAGCAAAACCGATTATTCACTACAGCAAAATGAAAACAGCAGATGCAATTAATTTACAGCAAATAAATTACACGTCAAAATGCTGTAAAGTTAAAGCATTCATCACTGTAGTCTGCCATGCCTTTCAAAAGCGCGTCTTTGACAACAGAACAAATTGCCCTTCCAGGACCTCCAAAAGTATGTTAAAGCTTCTGTGAATTTCAAATCTTCCTAATAGGGTCATTGGATGGAAATAATGAAAAGAGCTTTTTAGGGCCTTTCTGAGCTCCAGCCAGACAGGGGAGAGATTTCTTTCTCGATGCCTGCATCCCAGAACGACTCTCCATCTCTTTTCCTTTACTTCCCTGTTCAATTGTTAATGTCTCCAATATTTTCAGAAGTGTTCCACCAATACTAAATGTGAAGCAAACCCAACAACCTTCTAATAATAATGTGACTATCATCTTTTCCCCTTCTCAGTCTTTTCAAGAGGAACATTTATGGGGAGTCTTTTAAATTAATATAATATAATATAATATAATATAATATAAAATATAATATAATATACATTTTAATGTATAGGCTAGGCACCTGGAGCGTAGGTTGGCTGCCCATAGATATTTTTTATAAATAAAACAAACAAATACATCTGAGGTTCTCAAAAAGTTTTACAAAGACAGATATGTATTATTATCACTGTTTTACAGATGGGGAGAAAAGAGATTGTAAGGGATTATCCTGGACCTTAAAAAGCACAGGGGACCAGAAGACCCCATTCCAGATATTGGAATGAATAAAGGCCTAGAAAATGGCCTTAAAGCAGGAAACTAGGAGTTGGATGAGGGAAATAACCTCCCCCCCCCCATCAGTGTTCCTTTAAAGCCTGGAACCAGGAGCTCTCTTGAGTGGGTAGGGGCGTGGCTCCCCTCTCTTCCAGCCAATGGGGAGGAGGTCTCCGGAGGAGGGCAATATATAAGCTGCCTTCTGTCTCAGAACAAGGGAGAGTGAAGGAGAAGGAAGCCTGGGATAGGGTTCCGGTGAGAAAAGTCTGGGACTGGTAGCTTTGGGAGGAGTACAGCCTCAGAGAAAAAGGTATGGGTGCCGCAGAAAAACTAAATATTAACAGCTGAGTTATGATTTTGGACTTTGTGTTGACTATTTGGATTATTTTGTGGCTAAGGACTCTGAGGACTCTGTGACGTTTCTTTGATATTAAGCCAGCCCTAGAAAGAGTATTGTGAGCCCCAACAGAGAGTGTCTGGCAACCTTCCGGAGCCTCTAAAAGTGGGTGCTCAGTCAGCAGCCACCCAGCTACAGAGATTAGGACCAACATTTTCAAACCTGAGTGCTGGGGACTATCAGATGCTGGGACCGGAAAACAAGGGATGGGTCACCTGATGACTGCCCTGTTCTGTTCATTCCCTTGGAAACATCTGGCATTAGCCACCATCTGTAGATCAGATAGGGTATGTCTACACTAGCCCCCTAGTTGGATCTAGGGAGGCTAATGAGGGCGACTGAAATTGCAAATGAAGCGCAGGATTTAAATATCCCACGCTTCATTAGCATATTCCCAGCCGATCGCCATTTTAGAAATTGACTAGCCCGAAGTAACTGCCCACATCTACATGCGGCACTGAAACGGTATTCTGATTTAAAGCCCTAAATCGAATTAGCTGGTAAACCTCATTGCAGGAGGAATAATTCTGGGCACTGCATTTCAAGAAAGAAGTGGAGAAATTGGAGAGGGTCCAGAGACAAGCAACAAGAATGATTAAAGGTCTAGAGAACATGAGCTATGAGGGAAGGCTGAAGGAATTGGGTTTGTTTAGTTTGGAAAAGAGAAGATTGAGGGGGGACAATGATAGCAGTTTTCAGATATCTAAAAGGGTGTCATAAGGAGGAGGGAGAAAACTTGTTCATCTTGGCCTCTGGGGATAGAACGAGAAGCAATGGGCTTAAACTGCAGCAAGGGAGGTTTAGGTTGGACATTAGGAAAAAGTTCCTACCTGTCAGGGTGGTGAAACACTGGAATAAATTGCCCAGGGAGGTTGTGGAATCATTTAAGAGTAGGTTAGATAAA